TTAGTTTGAAGTCAGATTTAGTTACTGGACCTGTTATCGTAGGTGTTCGACCTACTCTTCCCGTTCCAGGCATTTCTTTGTTGCTAGGCAACGATTTAGCTGGTGGAAAAGTTGTACCAGATCCTATAGTTTGTGAGAAAATCACTTCCAATGTCATGTGCGATGATGAAGATGATGACATTTATCCAGCCTGTGCTGTTACTAGAGCGATGGCCAGAAGACGAGAGATGGAGGCAGACCATAATCAAGCCTTTGACGAGACAGATTCCTCTGTTGATATTGATTTGAATGACACTTTCTTATCTGACCTTGATGGCACTCAAATAAGCATGGAACCACACAATATCAAGAAGCAAGAGAAGAAAGAACTTTTACCAAAATTTGGTGGTGAGGATGATGAGTTGCATCCACTAGTTAGCCAAGGCAAGGACATCCTCAGCCGAGAACGTTTACTCTCTGAACAACATAAAGACCCAGATATCATTCAACTTAGTAAGAGGGCACTTCCACCAGAAGAGGCTACTAAAGTTGGAGAATGCTTCTATATGAAAGATGGCATCCTTATGCGAAAATGGCGACCACCTGACGCTTCCCCAGATGAAGTGTGGCGTGTTGTTCACCAGATAGTGGTCCCAGCTGCTTATCGTCGAGATGTCATGAGTTTAGCTCACGATACACCTATGGCTGGTCATTTAGGTATCAATAAGACTTATAATAGGATTTTGAGTCATTTTTATTGGCCTAAGCTAAGAAAGGATGTTTCGAAGTTTTGCAAGTCATGCCATGTCTGTCAGATGGTAGGTAAACCAAATCAGAAGATACCATCTGCTCCTCTCCAACCCATTCCAGCTTTTGAAGAACCGTTTAGTCGAGTGTTAGTGGATTGTGTAGGACCTTTGCCTAGGACTAGATCTGGAAACCAGTATTTACTTACCATTATGTGTACATCCACTCGGTTTCCTGAAGCCATACCTCTTAGGAATATAAAGGCAAAGAGCATAGTTAAGGCCCTAACCAAGTTTTTCAGTTTTGTAGGAGCACCCAAGGCAATTCAGTCGGATCAAGGCTCAAATTTTATGTCGGGGTTGTTCCAGCAAGTCATGCATGAGTTGGGTATTAGGCAGTATCGATCAACTGCTTATCATCCTGAGTCCCAGGGAGCGCTAGAACGTTTTCATCAAACCCTAAAAACAATGCTAAAGACCTATTGTTACCAGTATGAAAAAGAATGGGATGAAGGGGTTCATCTTGTGCTGTTTGCTGCACGAGAAGCAGTCCAGGAGTCTCTTGGGTTCAGTCCTTTTGAATTGGTGTTCGGTCATACAGTTAGAGGTCCTTTGAAATTGTTGAAGGAAAAGTGGCTGACTGAGACTAGTGATCTTAATCTTTTAGATTATGTGTCTGATTTCAAAGAAAAACTTTACAATGCTTGTAAATTAGCACAAGAAAATTTGAAAAGTTCTCAGATGAAAATGAAAATGTGGTATGACAAAGATGCCAGAAATAGGGTGTTTAAGCCAGGTGATAAGGTTCTTGTATTTTTACCTATTCCTGGTCATCCTTTACAGGCCAGATTTTATGGCCCTTATGAAATTGAAAGCAAGATCAGTGATGTAAACTATGTAGTTAAGACACCAGGTCGACGTAAAGAGAAACGGGTTTGTCACATTAACATGTTAAAAGAGTATTTTGAAAGGTGTGACCGAAATTCTGTAAAACCAGTTTCCACTTTAGCCAATGCTAAGACTGTTCAAAATTGTATTGAAAGTGATACGAGTGTAGAAATGAATGAGAAAGATTGTAATCAGAGTGTCCGCTTGAAAAACTCAGAAATTTTGGCTGATTTTGATGCCAAACTTGGACATTTGAACATTCACCAAAAAGAACAAGTTAAAAACTTGATGAATGAGTATCATCAAATCTTCTCGGATGTTCCAAAGAAAACTAATGCAGCTTGTCATGATGTTATAGTTGGCGACGCTCTGCCTATCAAACAACATCCGTACCGTCTCAATCCAATAAAATTGCAGTACCTAAGAAGGGAAGTGCAGTACATGTTGGACAATGACATTGTTGAACCTAGTAAAAGTAATTGGAGCTCACCATGTATTCTTGTACCAAAACAGGACGGTACCTACCGATTATGTACAGACTTTAGAAAGGTGAATTCTGTTACCAAAACTGATTCATATCCAATACCTAGAATCGATGACTGTATTGACAATATTGGAAACGCGAAATTTGTCAGTAAATTTGACCTGTTAAAAGGATACTGGCAAGTGCCGTTAACAGAAAGAGCAAAAGAAATATCTGCTTTTGCTACACCAGATGGACTTTACCAGTATAAAGTAATGCCTTTTGGCATGAAAAACGCACCGGCTACATTCCAAAGGATGATTCACTCCCTTCTTCAAGACCTTGAGGGATGCGAGGCCTACATTGATGATGTCATCATATACAGTGACACATGGGACGAACATCTTCGAATCATGCGTGCTTTATTTGACATTTTAGCTAAAGCAAACTTAACTGTGAATCTTGAGAAGAGCGAATTTTGTCATGCTTATGTAGAGTATTTAGGTCATAAAGTAGGTCGAGGTTATGTTACACCCATAATGGCTAAAGTGGAAGCTATTGCAAAGTTCCCGATTCCTACAAACAAGAAAGAATTAATGAGGTTTTTGGGCATGGCTGGGTTTTACAGAAAATTTTGTCCAAATTTTTCCTCAGTAGTTAGTCCACTTACAAATCTTTTACAAAAGAGGGTTAACTTTGAATGGACAAAGGACTGTGAAAAATCCTTTCATAAAATCAAATCTGTCCTTATGAGCAACCCAGTTTTGTCAACTCCAGATTTTTCTAAGCAATTTAAGCTTACTGTTGATGCTAGTGATGTTGGAATCGGGGCAGCTTTGTTTCAAGAACATAGTGATAATGTAGATAGAGTTGTTTCTTATTTTTCAAAGAAACTTACAAAATGTCAACAAAACTATTCCACCATTGAAAAGGAATGCCTTGCTTTGTTGTTAGCCTTACAGCATTTTGATGTTTATTTGAATGTTACTTTGCATCCAATTCTTGTATATACGGATCACAACCCCCTGACATTTTTGCATAAATTGTCAAACAAGAATCAAAGACTGACTAGATGGAGTTTGTTGTTACAAGAATACAACATAACAATTAAGCATATCAAAGGCAAAGACAATGTTATTGCAGATGCCTTGTCAAGAGTATCGTAAACATACTAGATTTTGTATTAATGTACATATGTTTTACAATTTAAGTTTTTCATTGACATTCAAACTTTTTAAGGGGGAGGTGTTGTGAGGTGTGTTGTATTTGTATTGTTTCATCATGTCTATTATTAGTAACATTAAGTTTCTTGAACATTCCAGAGTGGTCAACATGTTCGGTCATTGTTTCTAGAACATTCCTGAACTTTGTGTATGTCCAGAACTTTCCAGTAATATCATGTACTTACAACTTCTAGAATATTCTAGATTTCTAATACTGTATAAATACCCTGTCAATTCGATGCATAGATATACTTTGGTCGTACAAGCATCATTGAGGTATTACTGGGACATATTTTCACTGGGACATTGTGTGCAGTAACGGACACTCTGATGTATGTATTTTTAGATTCTTGCTAAGTTTGTACTTTATGTTTCATATACTTATAATATATTACTGTAAATAAATTATTGTTAAGTTTAAATTGTGTTATTGATCTTTGCTGGCATTTAGGGTTATTCTGACCCATAACAATACTCACATACTCAAAAAGTATTTTTATCTTCTTAACCAAGGATATGAAAACATCTTGCATGACCTATAGCCTCTGTCAAAAGGGGAACGAATATATCTGGTAAATATTTCGTAAGAGCCCCTTTGTTTGGATAATTAACCGAAATTTAGAAAAAATGATAGAATGCGAGGGACGAACTGCTCTCTATCATGCTATAAGACGAGCCAAGTAATTAACTTCATCATGACTGTGTTAATGAATGTAAGTCCACTACAGTAACGAGTTTGATTTAAATATCATATGCCTCTCCTATGTTATACAATACAATGCGCAGCTAGTTCATCATTCACCAATCAAATTATCCATTGTTTATACAATCGTAGTATTTAAATGGTATCCAAATCATTTCTGTCATTCTTTTATTCTGTATGCAAAAGGGTAAGTTCAAATCGAAATATTGTTGATGTCTTTATTACAAAACTATCTATGTTTACAAAGTGTGTTAAATTTGTTTCATAATACTGTCTCTAGCGTGAATATTGCTTTATGCTATTTAAATGAATCCTTTTTCTAGGTAGCATATTTAGAACATCTTGCAATAATTTCCAAAATATCTTCACAAATGTTTTAAATTTGATATTCTATAGAAACCTTCTTAGAAAAATCGTATTGATAAAAACAATTTATAAAGATATGCCTGAATAACATTTGACTTAAACTTAAAAGTTTTTCAAACATTTTTTTTTCTCGTACGATTCTTCTGCTTTCTAAACAACAATTATCACGTGACTTTGAGAAGCCACGCTGATTGGTTGTTGATTTACACAATAAATTAGATACTTATTATTTCACTACATCACAAAAATGATAGTATTAATCGTAAATAAAAGTACTGGATTCAATTTATTAGAGCGGGTAGGAAAACTTATAAAAGGACATTTCATGAATGCACTAGTATGTGCATTCTGAAGTGATTGGGGGGAGGGACCCTTATTAACTGAATGTTTTCAAAACGTTGTGTACCACCTTGTTTCTGTCCTAATTGTTATTAGTGACTTATTAATGACTTAATCGTAATGATAAGGAGACGAATTAAACAAAATTGGAGTACACTGGTCTAAAAATAAATATTTCAAAACAGCTTTCTATTAAGTGCAGGAAGAACATGTATGATCGTTTTGAAGTTTCAGTAAATATTTTAATTTTAGTTTTATTATTATTTTTCTCAGACAATAGGAAAAGAATAAGTATGACGAGTAATTCAATTCACCCAGAGTCTGTTGTGACAAAATTTTATCGATGTGACGAAACCAAATCTTTGGATTCAAGTATATCTCAGCAATCAATTCGTAGCATTCATGAAGTTCTTTTCCAGAAAAGAAGCAGTTATTCCTCTTCCAGAGGAATTGCCAATCACTGGAAAATGATAATGATTATTTTGATACCTGTATTATCTCTTATTTCCCTCGCCACAAACAGTCTCTTAGAAGCGGCAAAAGTTAAAAGGGCCTCACTGGAGTCCATTCATGACGTCAAAGTTGCTCATTTGTATGCAAACTTGATCCAAATGTTACAAAGAGAAAGGGGAATCTCCTCGAACTTTTTAAGCACTTATGGAGATAAGAACCCCTTGTATGATACGATGATGACAGCAAGGAAGAACACAGATCAAGCCTTTAACAAAATACCTCCGAATCATGATGCAATTTACATGAATGGGATCCTCCACACCATTTTAGAAGTACATGAAAATATTAATTTATCCCGAAGGAAAATTGAAAATGGGTCAGATTCTCTTGAAGATCATCTCAGTTTCTACACCGAGATTAACAATGGATTAATGAGCGTCATGTTTGATGATATTTACCTTTCAGAGGAGAAGAACTGTGTTTTGGACATTGTGGCATTTACATCACTTGTAAGATGGACAGATATCATTGGCCTTTTGCGTGCTAGAATAGCATCCCAATACGCAACATGTGATTTCACTTCAGAATCATTGCAGAATTACATGCTGCTGAGTGGCGAAGCAATGGGTTATAAAAATATTTTTACGCATTACAGTCTAGAAATTGAAACTGCATTCTCAATGGAAAATCAAAGCACAGAAAAATATCTCGAGAATGTCAGGAGATTTGCTTGGTCTAAATCATTTCTGAACTCGTGTAAAACAAAATCGAAGGCAGAACGCTTATCATTAAGTGTAACATATTTTCAAAACATGACAAAATTGATCGATTTCGCTTTTGAGACCCAGCAATTGCAGTCCAAGGTCTTGACAAGAAAACTCTTTGAAATAAGAAAAGATGCCGAGTTCCATTTCAACGTCTATCTCACTGTCCTGGTCATTATAACCTTCGTTAGCATCATTTTAACAGTATGGTATATACTATGTATCGAGAACATGACGTTTAAGATTGCCAATAATGCTATTATAATCAGGGCTAAGTCACAAGAGTTGGCTGAAGAAAAAATGGTAACAGAAAGACTCCAATATCAAATGTTACCAACAAAAATTGCCACAGCCTTAAAAGAAGCACGGACTATCATATCTGAAAACTTTGAAGACGTGACCATTTTCATCAGCGACATAGTGAATTTTACAGAGCTTGGAACTAGAAGTTCAGCTAGAGAGATATTTGATCTACTTAACACTTTATACGGGTAAGTCTATGTACGATTGGTCACAATTCTAGTGGACATGCTGTCTTTCTCTGTTAAGACATTCGAAGACGTTAACTTACATTAACTGATAAAATATCTACATAACGCATATGCTTTATTGATACAGTAACTGTCACTTACTGGGGCACATTTCTAACTTTACAACATATACATGCATTGTTTAAATTTATCTACTATTTATTTACACATGTATACATACTCTAGGTTTTTACTTTTGTTACTTAATTTGATGTAAATCTTAATCTTTTTATTTTCTAATAGGTTATTTGACAACATGACTAAGACATACGAGGTTCTAAAAATAGAAACCATGGGAGACTCTTACATGGTAGCGAGTGGAGTACCTGATCGAATTGGCAAAGCGCATGCGTCCAAAATTTGCTCTTTTGCACTTGCCATTCACAACGTTATGAAAGGATTCTATGTTCCGAAAACATTTAAAAGTCGTGAATCAATTCAAATTCGCGTTGGAATTCATTCAGGTATGATATTCATTGTTAAATATAATTTGTTAGCTCACTCTCTTTTTCTATAAGTACGAAAACAGTCTTGAACTTTCTTTTTGCGACCAATCGACACGGATGCTTTCTTCTAATAAAAGCTGACCCCACTCTGGAACACCGGAGGTCCATGTTTTATGCCCTGCTCACAGAATTGTACCTTTGTACCCGCTATATTTCTTGCGATTGGATGTCTTCAAAAATTTTCTATTGATTGTTTTCGATTCAAAAAATAAAAGCAAAAAAATATATATATATATAAAAACAAACAAACAAAAAAAAAAATACAAAAAAAAAAAAAAAAAAAAAAAAAAAAGCAAAACCAAAAACCAAACTTTCCGTAATTGTTCTAGATTTTAAAGTTCTTTCTAATGCTTGTATAGACAAAAATCTGGACGCTCAGCAGTAACCTCTGACAAAATAAACTTGATTTTAATTTTTTTTTTCGAAACATACATAAATATGTATACATGTATATGCATAAAATTTTATTTTCTCACAGGTCCCTGTATAGGCGGAGTGCTAGGCCTGAAAGTGCCCAGATATTGTTTGTTTGGACAAACAGTAAACACAGCAATAACACTTAAATCTAAAGGAAGAGGTTTGTGACAACGTGTCATCACATTTGTAATTTTTTTCAATTTTTATTATGTTGAAAAAAAGAAACTCAGTTTAGAACAGTTTTTCTTTATGAAAATGGCAAGTTGGTCGGAGTGAATACTCAATGCACACTGTCAATTACACTCAGTTGTTCTATGTTTTTTCTTCATTATTTATTCACAGGAGGAAAAATCCATTTAAGCGACAGTACGTACCAATTTATTAAAGATTCCGGATATTTTACTGTTTTTGAAAGAGGGTTCGCAACAACCAAGGTAAAGATAAAAATTTCTTTAAAGTTTCATTGGAATATACTTAGTATGGATACATTTTTATACGTAAACATCTTCCTGTCATATTCCAATGAAATATGCTGTTTCTAAAGTAAAAAGTGAAGAATTAAGTTTGAAAACGTAAATGTGTTTAAAAATTGAGAATCAAATATTGTATATTAAAATCAAGGAGGGAGCCTTTTATAGTATACATGTATAGTCATGTATTTGCTTATATGTATTACATATCAAGATGTAAGAAATTTAAAAATTCATATTTGTCTTTTCTTATTGTTATAATTGTACAATTCTGAGAAGAAATTGAAAAAAAATTGAAATCAAACAGGTTCCATATTCTACGGAAATGTGAAAATATACCCTCTTAGAATTATATTACATAGCAATGAATTTATTTTTTTAAACAATCAAAGACTTAAAGGAAATGTCCAAAGTGACTGATATTAATCATTTCTGGAATAATTTCAAAATATATCAACAAATAAGATTTCCCTTTAAAATTCAAATTTATTAGCTTTTGAAACTTTTCAATCCTTTCTCTCTTACTAATCAGCGAAACTCTTCGACTTTGTATCAGTTTATACATTTCAATGACTACTTCACGAGATGTGAAATAAGAAAAAAAATTATTATTGAAAATAAAATAGGCAAAATCATATTTAAATAGATATTTATTTCAGGGAAATGGAACTATCAAGACTTACTGGCTGGAATCAGCATCAGAGATGTGAAGGGCTGTACATATTATGAATACTGGATCAATTGTTATCCTTCCTTTCTTCTTTTTTAATTTTCATATATATCTGCAAGTGTAAATATATTTTTTATTAACTTGTTATAGTTAAATGACAACTCCATGTAGTGTTAATAATAAGACCTGGTACTGTTTGTGCATGCCAATTTGTTATACTCGAAGTATACTGATTCGATCTCCTCGTATCGGACTCTCACAACGACAAAACATCTATATCTTATATATAGACAAACCTTGGTTTGATGATGTAGAATCATGGGTCAAAATACATCATCAAAACAACTTGTATGATAAAAAAAAATAACTGTACACAATGGGACCAGGTCAGACCAAATAATTAGATACATGCATGGCAACTTCAAAGGTATAATCTGAAAGCTGCATGGATTCCAAAAAAAAAAAATAAATAAATAAAAACAAAAATAAATGAAATATTTAGAAATGTATCAACCGTTCAAAGCAGTCGATATACATGTGCTTCATAAATGTGTTGTGTGTGTGTTTTATATATGAATAAATTGCTTACAAGATGTTAAGGTAATTCATTAAAAAAGAATGAGAAAAATCTCTGCCACATGCAAGCTATATAAAGCCTATTGCTACCTTTTCCATGAATGAATATAATAAAACTAGTCGACTTAAATCAATATAAATTTTCATTTCATTTTAACTTATGCAGTATACTATTAACTAATTTACTTTAAACCTGCATGCGTAATTTTTTTTTCATATTTCCGAAGTTTCTGCATTTTATCAAATGTATGTTAGCGCAACGTTCTTTGTGTGTATTTATATACAGGCGATTTACTTCACATTAATTTATACAACTTTACGCGTTACATTTTTGACTGACAAAATTATCTACTATATTTACATCCACTGAGTATTTTCTCCTTTATTTCTTAAGAAAACTCATTGCGTTAATCATTGCATGAACTACACTAGGCATATTACCTGTACAGATTTCAGTGGCTGTTACATCAATAAAACCTACGCATCATTTACAATAATAAATCTTTTTAATCCTACTTTATATGATTATTCAAACAGATATAAATATAAACAATAAAATGTCTTTCTTTGCTTGTTAGTACGGGATGAATATCGCAGCTATTGCAGAAAAAAATTATATAACCCGCTTACGCTGGTTATGTATTTCTTCTGCAACAGCTGCGACATTCATTCCCATACTAATAACCAAAGAAAGCAATTTATTGTTTAAATATTTCGAAAGAAGCATTACTAACTACATTTTTAAAGCATAAATAGTCAATGTCCTTAAGCGCTGTATTAGTACACAATTAAGTTCATATCAAATGTATATGATATAATAATTTAGATGGCTACAGCTTACATGTAAATATATATCGTGTTTGTTTATAATACTGTTGTAGAATAATTTGACTAAAGTAGCCTCAGAAATATTGCTATTCATTTTATTTTTTAAAGAGTGATATCTTAGATTAGCTAAGCTTGAATCACAGAAACATGTAAATGGGATTTATTAAAAAAAAATAATAGGGAATATCTACAAGTAGATTGTGCGATTTGATATCGGTTGTATCCAACGAGTTTAAACGGTGTATATTCGTGAGTCTTATCAAGCGAATGTACATGAATTCAACAAGTTGGATATAGCCAATATCAATTCGCACAATTATAAATGTTCTATTTATCTCAAACGATTTTTGATCTTTTACAAAACTTTGAGAATACCCCTATAAAAATATTTGAATGAAATTAATGACGCTTAAATTGATGATGTCGCAATTTTGATAATGTCTTGGCGAAAGAAATAAGATCATGTCAAAAAGTTAAAAATCTTTGCTGTCTGCGTCTTTAAAAAACATGTACATGTATTACAATCTGTTGGAGATTTATTTCAGAGAAATATGTTGGTATGAGGGATGATGGATGTTACTCTGGTGTCATTCTTTGTTCGGTGGAAATGCAAACGGTGGTAGGATACCTGAATAATATAAATTCATGATAAGTTACACATACTATTTTATAGGAATACATATTATAATATGACAAAGCATTTTTGAAAGTGAATATGGAGCTAACGGGCACAAATCAAGCTTAAAATCCTATTTATTACAGTTTTCAGGTTAGCTTGGACTTTTAGTAAGGCGTGGCATTCTCGGTGCAACATATTTAGCGTCTGTCAAATGGCGAATAGATTCTCAATGGTTAAGGAATTAATAACATCAGGAACTTTAAATTGTTGTTGACAACGATGAAACGACTTAAACCCTGCCTCTGTGCCGTGCGAGAACTTTTAATTGGCTATTTGCTACACCAGATAACATTTGGTCGAATTTCTATCCTATAAATATTTCAGTAGTGATGGAAAGCTGTGAAAATTTCAGAAGCTAATTAGGAAACGTCGAGAATGCCACGCTTTACTGAAAGTCCAAGCTTAACTGAAAATTGTCCTAAAAGTTACAATCTGTTCACAGACAACTTGGATTTTTAAGAACATCAGAGATGAGATCAGGTGATATAGAGGAGTAAGCATCCCTTGTCGAATAGATACACACGCCGTTTCTTGTTAATATTGGTAAAACGGAAAAATCCGTCGTACTTCAATTTTTAGATAATGGCCAAACAACTGTAAAGAAAAATGTCAGTCAGCATACAATCGAATTAGTGATAGAGTCTGCAGACAATGTTATTGTTTCTACTACAAAAATGGCAAACTGATTACTGTTCCGTTATTTTGAATGTTCATTTTGACATGCTCTCATAATTTTAAAGCAATTTTAAAAAAATAATGAAGGTCAGCTTATATTTTTATACTAAATACTTTAAAAGGTTTAAAGAACATGTTTGATCAATTAAAAAAGGAATTGCCATCAGATGCAATTTTTCTGTAAATCGAACAAGGTATACCAGTTTTAATTTTATATTGTTTTGAAGCAGAATTTATTAAAATGTTAGAACATGAAAAGGAAAAGGATCATTTGTTGTTTTTCAATTCAACATGCCTTCTATCAATTAACACTATTTTTTTTAAAATGTTTTCATTTACGGAATTAACTGTTACATCATACTTTGTCTGACACTTTTTTTCCATACGAATTGTATATAAATTTCCTCTTTACTCGGTCTTGGTAATGAGGTCAGATGGGTTTAAACACACAACATTAACAAATTAAAATGTTTGATTCCCACCTATAGAACAGCGTTTGCAAAACAAAGTTCGAAAAAATAAGATAACAAGCAGCAAACAGCAATCCTTTTTTCTACCCCTAGAGATAATCAAGCTGATTTTATTGTATGAAACATGGATCCCTAAAAACATCAAAAGATTGATCTGGTTCAATGGTGATCGAAGTTCATTTCCTGTCCATTTATCAATGGACAGTTCTTTTAGAATAAAATTCAAAAATGGTCAGAGGATAAACCTTCTCATAGTTTTCTATAAATTCCAACGCTTATCAAAAAAAAAATATACTGTCTCTTTTATTTATATTGTTGTGATTGTTCTGTAAGACATCACCGCATGGCGGTGTGGTAAGAGCGTTTTCTGTCTGAGTAAAGTGTTTTTTGTTTTGCAGATTAGATAATATATTTTTGAGTATAACAGTAACTTGATCCTCAGAATTGTATCGAATTTCTGTAAAAATGATAAATTTAATATTATAGCCCTCTAGCTACAATAATCAAATATATGAAAATCAATAC